GCAGGATCGAGGTCAGCGTCTCATCAAACGAGCGCCTTCTCCCTCTTCGGGACTAACTGTATAACTGCATTTTTCTAAATGTTATGGCTGCAAGCAAAACTTCCTTGAATAAGAGTAAGAAGTTTTATTTCAACTATAGTAAGATGGAGTGAATTCTGGTACTCTACTCCAAATATTCATATTCATTATCTTCTTGTGTTTTTTTACTAATCTATTAACATTTCTGGGAAATACGCAATAACTATCATTTGTTGATAGTGTTTTGGATCGCGTTTTGTGTTCACTGCAATTCGGTTGTGCCAGTACTTTGCCAACGGATGTGCATAATGCTAGTGCAATGTTGAGGAAAACACTTCATCACCTAAAAATGGAAGTTTGACCATGTGAGGCAAAAACTAAAGCCTCGGGCCATAGTGCACGCGATTTCATCGCCTCGCGATTCTCCCAACAAGACAACTGTTACGAGTCCGTTGCATGCCGAACCTCCTGCATTTTGGTTGTGATAGATGTCCGACGACTAATCGTGACTAACTACCACAACCAAACAAGGTGATCGATGCAATGGACTCGTAACAGTTGTCTGGTCGGGAGAATCGCGCGGCGACGAAATCGCGTGAACTATGGCCGAGACCTAGACGTGCTACAAACCTGGATGAGTAATTCCTTGTTATTAATGATATCCCAAAGAACCTGCTGTTCCGGTAACACCTCGGTCTGTGTTGCAACATCATTAGTAGCCAACGTAGCAATATCAAGTTTAGTGACATCGTTAGCAAAGTTTAAAGCTGATCTAAAAATACCAAATGAAAATCATGCTTTGAAAAAGGTTTTTTGAGCCCTTACCTTACAGATAAATCTTCACTTGGAAAAGAGAATGGTGCTAAAGATGACGCATTGACAGCAGATATAGATGATTGCGCATACATTGACATTGGGGCCCATTTTAAGAAGTCTTCATTTCCCCATGGTAGTAATGTCGATTTGAATGAGCTCATTTCATCCAATGATCCTATAGTTTGTTCTGGGTAGTCGTCGGAGCTATCGGATGAGAGCACATGGTTGGCCGGAGATACTTGGGGTGTTCCATTACTCAGAGGTGATGCACATTCGGTTCCTCCAGACATTTCCCGTAACAGAAGCGATTCCTGCTCGTTTGATGCATCTGGCAGAGAAGACGGTGGAGCTATCGGTTTAGGAGATTCAATGGGTGCAGGTGGTGCGGGTGGGGCCGGTGGTGCCACAGGGGCTGGCAGCTAAAGTAATTACAATAAGTCTTACCACAATTATTCACAGCAAACATTTTTAATCAGGCTCTACATTCCCTACTCCCTTCTACTACCAATAAAAAATGTAAAAATGATAGGATACTAGTCGTTGAAGGAGAAAATAAACTAAAGTCAGTGGACGGACAAAACAGTCCCTTCTCAAATTTTGGTGCAGTTAGGTAGTAGACCCTCCGCCCCCCCCCCTCTCCCCCGTACACCATAGCCCAAACCCCACCTGCCAACTCATGCGCTAGTTCCTGAAAAATGCGCTTCAAAACTCCATCTGCCCCGCCCACTTCCATTGATTCCATTGAGTGGGCGTCATTGGTGGAGTTTTGAAGTGCA